GGAGGGCAGCGGCAGCTGCCGAGTGGAGGGCAGCGGCAGCTGCAGAGCGGAGGGCAGCAGGAGCTGCAGAGCGAAGGGCAGCAGGAGCTGCAGAGCGGAGGGCAGCAGCAGCTGCAGAGCGGAGGGCAGCAGCAGCTGCAGAGCGGAGGGCAGCAGCAGCTGCCGAGCGGAGGGCAGCGGGAGCTGCAGAGCGGAGGGCAGCAGCAGCTGCAGAGCGGAGGGCAGCAAGAGCCGGTTTGGGTGTTGGATGTGGAGATGGCGGACGAGGCTTGCACCGATGAGCTGGAATCAAGCCCCATGGAGGGGGAGAATGCCAACCCTGATTCCCCGGACCAAGCGGAAAGGCCCCGAGCGCGGGGCCGGGGCCGGAGGCGACGGGCAACCAAACTGCAGCAGCTGCAGAGCGGAGGGCAGCAGCAGCTGCCGAGCGGAGAGCAGCAGCAGCTGCAGAGCGGAGGGCAGCAGCAGTTGCCGAGCGGAGGGCAGCTGCAGCTGCAGAGCGGAGGGCAGCAGCAGCTGCCGAGCGGAGGGCAGCAGCAGCTGCAGAGCGGAGGGCACCAGCTGCCGAGCGGAGGGCAGCAGTAGCTGCAGAGCGGAGGGCAGCAGCAGCTGCAGAGCGGAGGGCAGCAGCAGCTGCAGAGCGGAGGGCAGCAGCAGCTGCAGAGCGGAGGGCAGCAGCAGCTGCAGAGCGGAGGGCAGCAGCAGCTGCAGAGCGGAGGGCAGCAGCAGCTGCCGAGCGGAGGGCAGCGGGAGCTGCAGAGCGGAGGGCAGCAGCAGCTGCAGAGCGGAGGGCAGCAGCAGCTGCAGAGCGGAGGGCAGCAGCAGCTGCAGAGCGGAGGGCAGCAGCAGCTGCAGAGCGGAGGGCAGCAGCAGCTGCAGAGCGGAGGGCAGCAGGAGCTGCAGAGCGGAGGGCAACGGCAATTGCAGAGCGAAGGGCAGCAGCAGTTGCAGAGCGGAGGGCAGCAGCAGCTGCAGTGCGGAGGGATGGAGCTTGCAAGGCCGTTAGAGGGGGGCATGGAGACGGAGTCTAGCAGGAGGGTCTTGCCGGCGTGTTCGAGTGGAGAGGAGCACCTAGACCCTACATTGACACCCCCGCCCCGCATTCCGTGCGAAACCTGTTATCGCACGTTCACGGAGAGAGGAAAGGCCACACGCCATATGTCGGCCTGCAGGGCAGCGGACGCCCAGCGTCGTGCTCAGGCGCTTGGGTTGACCCGCGACGTCACAGATGACTCGGACGGCGAACCCCCGCCACCACGTGATATCAGTGAAGAGGTATGGGCCGCAGTTCCTACATGGGACTGGGAGTCGTTTTTTGGGATCGAATTGGTGCCAGGGAGAATCATGCGTCGTATCCAACAGCGCGCTAGATTGGGGGTGCTTGATGCACTGTCTTGTGTCCTGAAGCGGCTACAGTTAAAGGCAGCAGACGAGGCGGCGTCCTTGGTCTTTTTGGCCTTCCCTCGTCTTATCTTGGGGATGCCAACTGGGCAAGGCCAGGGGCATAGGGCGGCAATCAGGGAGCGGTTGGAGAAGTTTTGGGTCGGGGAGTGGCGGGAGCTGTTTGAGTTGGCGGTGGCGGTAATGCAACCTTCGGCGCGTCCTTTGTCCTTCACCCCCCCCGAGCATGATCCTGATGCGGTGCGCCTGGCTCGCTGCCGCACAAGGTGCAAAGTGGGAGAATTGAGTCGGGGTTTGGCGTGTCTTACTGCCGGTAGCATCGCTCAGCCCTCTCAGCACATGGTGGACGCGCTGCGAGCGAAACACCCATCGAGCGAGACCGCCATTCCGGAGTGGTTGCAGGAGGAGATAGTTGAGCCTTCCCTTATCCCGCAGCTCTCAGTGGAGGTACTTGGTCAGGCGATCCACTCTGCGGCTAGGGCGTCGGCACCAGGACCGTCGGGGTGGGTGACGGAGCACCTGCGCGACACTTTTCTCTCTGAGCCCGCATACCTGCCTCACATGCTAGGAGTCTTCACCCAGTGGACCAAGGGAGAGGTAGCGGAGCGCGTGCGACCCTGGCTCACTGCGTCCAACCTTGTGGGCCTGTCGAAGCCGAATGGTGACGTTCGCCCGGTGGCTATAGGCGAGGTGCTCCCCCGCCTACTATCTCGGGCCCTATGCATCGTGCTTCGGCCGAAGATGATGTCGCACTTTGCGCCGTGTAACCAGCTAGGAGTCGGATCCAGGTCGGGAGTGGAAGTCCTCGCACATGCCTTTCGTTCTGCCATCTCTACTCACCCGTCATGGTGCGCGCTTCAAATTGATGTGGCGAATGCTTTCAACTCCTTCCATCGGCGGGAAATGTTTGAAGGACTTCGACAGTCGCCTTTTGCGGGTTTGATCCCATTCCTGCGTGTCTTCTACGGCACTCCTAGCGACCTCTACCTCCGTGCGGGCCCCTTCGTCGAAGCTTTGGCTTCAGAGCGAGGATCGAGGCAAGGGGACCCATTGGGGCCGACCAAACAAGAATTCGCCGACCTACTCTTTCTCAGCTACGCCGATGATACGTACATCTTGGGGCCTAGGGAGCGGGTGCTAGCAGCTTATGAGGTCTTGCGAAAACGACTGGGCGGGCTTGGTCTGGAGGTGCAGCCGCATAAGTGCAAGCTTTGGGAGCGAGGGGTGGACCAGGAGGGAGAGGAGAGGAACGAGACCGTCCCGCCCGGCATGCAGCAAACATGGACGGGGCTCACCGTAGTGGGGGTTCCTATTGGGGAGGAGGAGTGGGAGGTGGCCAGCTTGCGAGGCCGGCTGATGCAGCTGCATGCACCTGTCCCTTGGCTTCCTTTGCTCGACCACCCACAGATTGCGTCCCATCTGCTGGCGATCGCAGTGTCAGCGCGCCCGATTTACCTCACAAGGACGATGCCTCCACGGCCTGAGGTTGTGGAGGCTTTCCGCGACTGGGACACGAAGCTTGAGGATTGTTTTGAGCAGCTGTTTCCAGATAGCACCTGGGATCATGATTCGGCAAGGTCGCAGATGGCCCGTCTACAGCTGCACCTTCCAGCCAGACTTGGAGGGTTTGGCATTCGATCTGCAGCTGACCTTAGCCCTCTGTCGTACGCATGTGGTTGGTGCCAGGCAGTGAGCGATGTGGCTCGGATGGGGGTGGCAGGGGAGGAACGGATGTTTGAGGAGTTTTTCCGCACGCCCGAGGCTACGACCTTGCTGGATCCTTGGTTTGCGAGAGCAGTGGAGCTGCTGCCACAGTCGGTCAGGCAGGAGATGCCACCCCTAGCCTTATGCACCGCTGACCCCCCTGTGCTGCTTTTCCCCACACAACACCGTCGCCTAGCGGTTGAGAGTCTGCAGACTCTTCGGGGTATGGCCCACGACGACGCCACCATGGCCCGTTTGACATCCCTTCAGGGCCCGGGGGCAGGGGCGTGGGTCTCCGCCGTCCCTTCGCACGAAGAGGCTACCTTCACCGCAGCCGAGTGGAGCATCTGTGCGTCCATGCGCCTAGGCCTCCCCATACAGCAGCTGATAGTCGCCGACAAGTGCGCGTGTGGGTTTGAGTTTGCTGATCCCTCTGACCCGCATCATGCCCTTCGCTGCAAGTACCAGTACGCACCTTCTCGTGTTCACGACGCGGTTAAGTTTGTGGTGGCGAAGATAGCTAAAGGGGCGGGTGGGGTCGTGACCATGGAAGACGACACGTTGATGCCAGGGAAGAGGGTGGATGTGGCGGTGCGGAGACTGAGGGAGGGGGAGGAGCATGCGCTGGAGGTTAGTGTGGTGGACCCTATCTCGTTGTCCGCGCAGCACCATGGACAGATTGGTCGCAAGGTGGGTTTTGCCGCTAGAGAGAGGGAAAAGCGGAAGGCGGCGGACTACAAATTGCTTCTGCAGCGACATAGGGGAGTGCAGTTTACACCTCTCATTGCTGAGACATGGGGTTGCCTGGGGGGGAGTTTTGGGCGGTGGCTTAAGAAACAGGGCGACGCGCAGATTGAGGTAGCGAAGACGAAAGGGGCGGCGAGAGCTACGGGGAAAGGTTTCTCGGCTTACTTGCTTGGATCACTTAAAGCGGCCATAGGTGTGGCTTTGCAGCGGGCTCAGGCGCGTGTAATCTTGTTGCGCGCGGCGTCGATGATGAGAGGCCCAGAGGCTGTTTCGGTGGAGCGGGAGGATTTTGAGGAGGAGATGGGATGGGATGCTCCGTGGGCGGATGCGCCCTATTTGGTGGACATGCGGGTTTAGAGGGTGGGTTTAGGTGAGGGGGGTGGGGGGTTTGGTTAGATGGGGCGTATTGTTGGGGTGTCTCGTTGGGGTGTCTCGTTGGGGTGTCTCGTTGGGGTGTCTCGTTGGGGGTATCTCGTTGGGGTGTCTTTTGGGGTTCCTTATGTGCTGTTCTACTGGGGTGTTCTTGAGGCTGCGTTTTCCGTTTTTCTTTCATTTAAAACTGAAAAAGATGGTTTCTTCCCAAAAAAAAAAAAAAAAAAAAAAAAAAATCGAACTTGGTTTGAGAAGCCTCCTTACTGATTGTTATGAACTGCACAATCGTCAAACCTCACCTGCCCACACGGCAACGCCGTGGCCATGGAGGTCCTTGCATGTCGCATTGTAATAAATTCTCACCACCCCTTCCCATCCCACATGATCCCATCCCACTGGAATGGAACAGCAATCATCGTGTCCATCCATCTTCCCTCATTCGGGATTCCCCCCATCACGTCCCCACTGCGCGCTTCCCGGGGACGCGGATTGGGGGGCCATGTAACAGCACACACACACACACACAGCCACACGAATTCCGCCCTCCCTCCTCTCATCCCCGCCATCCACATCCCAAATTCAGCCCGCCATCAGAAACAGCTTTCCCCTTCCCCGTCACCTAATTCCCCCTCCCTCCCTCAAATGTCATCGAGAAAAAGAAAGGTGAAAAGTTGAATATTGCAACTTGCTCGTTTCTCCATCCTGCCCTACGCGCTGACTCCCCACGGCATCCCTCAGCCATGGCCCCTGCACACGGCGAACACCCGCATTACGCCATGGCGTCTATGAGCGGGGGTGTCGGTGCGGCGCACGATGATACGGTGGGCATGTTTGCGTCGTACGGAAGCTATGGCAGCAGCAGAAGCAGCAGGAGCGGCCGAATCCCCAGCAGTGATTTCACTGGCGACGTCGATATTATATCTACCAACAGCAGCACCGCCACCACCGTCAACAGCGGCGGCTTCAGCGCCTCTCACGACAGCGACTTCACCGGCTCAAAATCCGGCCGCTTCCCCTCGGACCTGCCGCCGTTTTTTCCCAGCTACAGCAACAACTCCCGCAGCCCCAACCGCAGCCCCGCTCGCACGTCGTCCTCTCCCGTGCACCTCCCAGATAACGTGCCGCGATTTGGCGCCTTTTGCGGCGCAGCGACGGGCCAATCGGGCGAGTTGCCGCGCCTGGGCGGGGGGGATCATTCCTCCCGCCCCTCCAGCGCGGGCGGGTCTCCCCTCGCCTCCCCCTCGCCCCAGCCGCCGCCGCGCTTATCCGGGGAGTTATTCCGCGATCCTACCTTCAGCAATGGCGCTAACGGCCCCTACCCGGCGGTGGCGGGTGCGACGGCGGCTTTTTATCGCGATCCGACTCTCAGCATGGGGAACTGCAATTCCGGTCCGTTGCCGCGAATCTCGCGGGATACGAGCCGCAACGGCTCGCCGTTCGGCGGTTCGCCGTTAGCATCCGCGACGAACTCGCCGCGCAATTTCTCGCGCAGCAACAGCGGGAGCGGCGCCGCCGGCGGCGCGAGGATCGCGACAAAAGAGCCGACGTACAACTCCAAGGGCATGTCTTTAAGCGCCGCGATAAGCATGTCGCACAAGGAGCAGGTGCAGCGATGGGGCGTCAACCACGCGCTTCCCCAGCAGTGCGGCAGCAGTGGGAGCAGCGTTACTAGCCACGACGGTGGCGGCGGCGCCGGCGGCGCGACCAGCGGCCATATGTTCCCGCCTTCTTACCACCCCGACGCGCTATACAGTCCTATGCACGTTCACGGGGGGGGCGCTGAGGATGGCGGTGCGGGCGCTCGTTCCGGTGCGTCGGCGATCGCAATGCGGTCGCTGCACGGCCGCCGCACGAGCAGCGGTATGGTTCGAATGACCGGCCTCGGCGGCGGCGGCGGGGGCGGAGGCGGCGGTTACGGCGGGTTCTCCACGCCGGGTTCCCCCGACAATCTGCTCTTCCCCCCGCACAGCGCATTGCCCCTCTCCGCGGGGACTTCCCCCGATCACCCGCACTTTGGCGGCGCGGCGGCGGGTGGCGGAATCGGGCGGAGCCACTTGGCGGGCGGGGTGGTCGCGCGCAGTCACTCGCTGCTGCGCACATCCAACAACGGCGCTGGTCCCACGCGTTCAGAGAGTGAGTGGTGATGAGTGAGTGAAGGGGTTACGAGTGAGTGGTGTCGCGCTCTGATTCCCCTCCTCTAGTAGTACCGCTCCAGTTCTTCCCGTCTGACGGAGCCCCACCACGTTCTTATTCTCGATTCCTCTGCCCCGCACCACATTCAAGCCGCTATCGCTTCTGGATCTTATCGCCATCTTTCGCCCTTTCGCCCTTCCTGTCTGCAACTCATGTCTTCTCTCCCCTTCCCCCTCCCCCCGCACCTCCCGCCCGCCCAACCCGCGCAGGCAATGACGACCTGACGCTGCTGATGGACGCGCGCGCGCGCAACAAGCTCGGCGCGCAGGGCGACTGGTCGCAGTCCGGATCGCGCAGCCCCGACAGCCTCGCCTTCTCCGCCAGTGGCCGCAGCAACGGCAGCGGTTCCTTGCAAGCCTTAATGGATTTCCGTCCCTACAACGGCGCTGCTTCTGCTGGTGGGGCTGGCGGAAATGCGGCTGGTGTTAATGGTGCTGGTGGTATGCAGAGGTTGGGAGGAGGGAAGGGCGCGTTCAGTGGTGCTCTGAGTATGGACTTGGAGTCGGACCTGGCGGGCGTGTCACTGACTGAGTCCGACTGCGTGCCTGTGGGGGAGGTTCTGCACGCCAGCTGCGTGGGCAACACGGGTGCAGCAGCAGCAACAGCACGAGGTGGAGAGGGCACGGGGGAGGGAGAGGATGAAGAGGAGCTGTCGCTGGTGCCATGCCTCAACTGGGAAGGTACGTTGCTGGGGTGGGGGCGGTGTGTTGCTGGGGAGGGGGTGCATTTTCTGGGCGGGAGGGGGTAGTCACATGGGGGAGCATGTGCTGTGCGTGCGTGAAGAAGTAGTCGTATTGTGCTGCTGCATGCCTGTGCTTGTTGCCATCCAAGCAGGTTCTTTCTCGCACTGATGTGGTTCCTGTTGCGCGCTCCCTTTCTCTTATACCCCTTTGTACTCCCCCCTCCCCCTCTCTCTCCCCGCCCCCCCTTCCGCATACCCCCTCTCCACACACTCCCCTCCACCCTCCCTTCCCAACACTCCCCCTCCACACTCCCCTTACCACTCTCTTCTCCACTCCCCTCCCCTCCCCTCTCCCCGCTCTCCTCTCCACGCCCCTCCTGCGTGCAGCGGTGGAGGCGCTGTGTCTAGACATGGAGCTGGACCGGCGCCACATAGAGGCCATCCATATCCTGCACACCGGCCCCCCCGCTCCTGCCTCGCATGCCTCGCAGGCAGGTGCAGGGGCAGGGGCAGCAGCATTGGCAGGGGCCGGTACAGGGGCAGTAGGAGGGGCTGTGCCTTGGTGCTCTGGCGTGGACCCCCCTGTTGTGTATGCGCTGCAGTTTGCCGGGGCAGATGAGTGGTATTGGCCGGGCTGTGGGGGGCTGCTTGGAGGAACTGCCGCTGCAACGGTGGCCTGATTTGATTTTATTGAACCTTGTTGATTTGGTGGAAAAACAAAACGCAGTGGTGGAGACCATGGGCCACTATGGACGTGCTTCTTTTGTGTTCTCTGTGATACGGTACTCCGGGAATTTCTTGCTATTATGCAGTTGCCATGTCTTGAGTGCACCATGGGCTACCATGTCCTGCACTGCACTGCACCCCTACTGGAATTGTGTTTACCTTGCTCCGCATCATGCTTGCTGGATTGCTTGCATCCCAAAGGGTGTGTGTGGCATAGGATGAGTTTAAATGATGCCTACAGTATATGAGCTCCCCAAAATCAGTCTGATATCATAATAGGACACCAGTTTGGCATCAGACTCATTTAGCCCAAATTGTGGATATGTTTATTATAATAAGAAAGGTGTCAGGTTGCCAACACACCCTAATACATTATAAGGCTAACAAACAAATCTAAAAACTGGCAGTTCAAGCTGCCTGTCAAGTCGCCATTATGGCATAAATACAGCACAGACTGCCGACACCGAATATAAAAAAGCATAGCGCACCCTCAGAGAAGCAGCAGCAGCAACACTACTGTGTGAGAGCGGAGGCAGCATTGCTGCCAGAGTGCGAGCCACTGCCCATGAGCAGCACGCTATCGAGCTCATCCATAAAGTCCAGCGACACTCCCTCCACCTCCCAGGCATCCATCAGCTCCAACTCCCCACCCAGAAGGTCATCGTCCCCAAACCCATCCCCATCCTCCAACCCTCCCTTGCACTCTAACCCATCCATGCCCTCCAAGCACCCCTCCGGCAGGTGTGGTAGAAGGTCATCCTGTTCCTTGTCCCCCTCTCCCACACTCTGTTTGCTTCCGCTTTGGCAGTGGATTGCCTCTTCGCTGCTGCCACCGGACCACCCACTCACCCTCACAGAGGCAGTCAGCATCAGCCCACCTTCCTCTTTCCCCCCCTCCTGCTGTGCCTCTTCCTCTCCACCCTCCTCCTCTACTTCCTGCAGCTCCCCTCCGAAGCACGCAGGCAGATCAAACGCGCCCTGCATGAGCAGCGCCTCATCCTCACCGTCGAAAAGCGCGCACGAGATCTCATCAAGATCCTGCACGCTAGCGCTGTGCGTCAGACTGCCCTCCAGCAGCAGCGACAACCCCGCGTCATTGCCCCCCATGCAATCCGCGAGGTCTAGACTCCACGCCACCTCCATATCCAGCAGCGCTGCAGCCTCCTCATTACTCAATGCCTCATCAGGGATACTCAATGCTTCCGCCGGCATGTCGTCTAGGGCAAGATTGGCTAGATTGGCACCACCGACACCAGCAGTTTTAGCAGGAGCAGCAGGTGGGGCAACAGCCGTGGAAACAGCAGCAGCAACCGTTGGCAGTGCAGAGGGGCTGTCAGGTCGTGTGATGGCAGACGGAGATGATGATGCTGCAGCGATCTTAGCTGAACCTGCCTGGCCCAAACCAGTGCCGGTCACCACAGCAGGAGCAGCAGCAGCAGCAGCAGCACCGCCGGAGCCATTGTTCTTCCCAGATTTACCACTCTTCCTCCCCGCGTACGGCCTGGTGCGGGCGCACCCGCTGAGCTCACCACCGCGCGCACAAGCAGCAGCTGCAGTCGTCGCAACCTCCGCCAGCGCCTGCGGCGGAACAGGAGGCGCGGAGGGGGCGGCCATTTCGGGTTCCGCGTCCGCCACGCACGACGTGCAGCTGGCAATGCGCGGGAGCGCAGCAGCACGGCGCGAGCCTTTCCCCGAGGGGACGACGACTCCAGTAGGCTTCATCAGCTGCCCGTCGCTCAGTATAGCCATGGCGGCTGCGCCTGCTGCGGGGGCGGCGGCTACAGTGCTGCCTGATGAGCCCTGACGGCTGTGCATGGCCATGGCTGGCGGCGGCGGTGCCATAAGGTTGATGCTCCCGAGCCGGGCAGCAGCGGTTCTGGCGGGAACGAGCGCCGTGTCGCACGCGGCAGCGGTAGCCGGAGACGAAGGCGCAACGGCAGCAGAGAGCATAGGAGCAGTAAGTGTGTCCGAAGGAGCGACAGCTGGAGCGGCCGCGCAATCCGCCAACGGGAAGTTGGTTATAGCAGCCGCACCGCGGATCGCCCTCGCCGCAGCATCGTACGCCTTAGCGGCCGTCTCGGCCGAGTCGTACGTTCCCAGCCACACGCGCACGCCGCGCGTCGGGTCGCGAATTTCGGCTGCCCACTTGCCCCACGGCCGCTGCCGCACGCCCCGGAACACGCAGCTGCTGGCGTGCTTCGCGGGCGGGGGAGAACCGGACGAGACCGCAGCCCCGGGGGAGGCGGAATTGGAGGCGTGCGCGGTCGTTGCGCTGGCATGCGCGGATCGCGGGGAATGCGCGTCGGGATGCTCGCCGTCGCTGCTGCTGCTGCCGCCACCGCCGCTGGCAGTGATGGTGCTGCACGTGCTGTGACTCGCGTCCGCCCCTGCGCCGTCCTTCTGCCTCTTCGCTCCGCTGGCTCCGCTCACTCCGCTTACTCCGCTCGCCGCCTTCCCGCCGCTCACCAGCTTGCGCTTCATCCCCGCTTGCTGCGCCTGGGCCAGCGCGTGCGCGTCGACGGGGACCCCCGAGAAATGCGGCAGGAACGGCATGCCGGTCGAATTGCCGGCGGGGAGGTGAATCGGCAGGGCCGAAAGCTTCTCCGACGGATGCGCTGCTTGCGAAAGATCGCTGCGCTCGACGCCATTCGCGTGATACCCTTGTGCGCCTGATGCGGCAATTACTGGTCGCATCGCGGCGGCGGCGATGCTCGCCTGATCCTCCCCCATAACGAGGAATGCGGCGGAATGCGCCATGGATTGCGGCGCGCCGTACGATCCGGTTTGCCTGATGTCAGGAACTTGACTCATCGACCCGTTGGCGACGCGGGACCCGTCGTGGAGGGGAATTGAGCTGCGTAGCGCAGAAGGCGCGCCTCGGGCGCCAATGTAACCGCTCTGCTGCTGCCGCACGTCACGGTCGAACTGATTGAGGTGTTGCTGATGCTGATCGGCCGGCTCCTGGGCATGGCCGTGTGTCGCCGAGAGAATGGGAGAGCTGCCAAACGAGTACCCGTAAGCGGCGCTGTAATAAGCGCCGAAAGCGGCGGAGTTCGCGGCTCCTCCGCCGTACGGCGAGTCCACACTTGCAACACAACAGCCAGCGACGGAGCACGACAATCTGCTCGTCGCAATCATCGCCGGCGGTCCGGCGCTCGCCGCGCCAGAAGCGCCGCCTACTAAACCACCGTGGTAATTCCTCTGCGCGGTGTAGCCATACGGGGAGGGGCTGCACGGGAAATGCTGCCCCCCGAAATAATAATTCAATGTCGCGGCAGACGAGTAGGCCGCCGCATTGCCAGTTCCCCCGAGCGGATCGGACGGGTATCGCATTGTTGCTGTAGATCGCGGTGAAGCAGCGAAGTTCGACGAGCGGACGGACGTCGCCGCAGTAGAGGTGGCGAAGCGGCGTCTCCGTGAATTGCGGCGGTTCCCGGAGAATAATCCGTGGGATGGCAAGCCGAACGAGTCCTCCTCGTCGTCCGACGAATCGTCTGTCGCGTCAGGGTCTGTGTTAATAACCTCCGCGCGGCCTCCCCGGATCGAAACGCGTACGCCTCCTTTTCTCGCAGACCCTGCCTTGGCGACGTGGGTACCGTCGTCGGCGACAGCGAGCGACGACGACGGCTGCAGTTGAACGGCGCAGAAGGTCGCGGAGTAAATCTTGGGATCGATTGCTTCTACAGAATGTGGCACGCTCCGACCGACCGCCACGTGGGAGTCGAAACGGTCGTCCATAGGCGATACGTTGGGGGAGGCGGAAGTGAGTGGGGAAGCGGATGAGGCAGACGAGGGGAAGTCGCAGGAGATCGGATGAGCGTGAAAAGACCTAAGGCAATTGTCCGACTTTACAATCACCGGCGGCTGAAAGGACTTGTGCGAACCGTTCGGAGTTTGGCCGGTGATGAATGCAGAAGAGTGGTAATTATTATGTATGAGCTGACGGCCTGGCATAACTGTTGGAGAGTTTAAATGACAGGTGCTGCTGCGATCGATCGTCACGCAAGCGAAAAGATCGGGCTGACCTTGTAGGTGCTTTGATCGGGCTAAACTTGCGTGGCGTGATCAGCAAGCAGACGACAAATATGACTCCAACAAGAAAGAATGGAGTATGAAGAAACTGGAAGGAGTGAAGTGGGAGTTCTAGAGCCAGGCAGAAGTGAAACACGAGTAGAGGAGCAACAAGAGGAAGCAACAGTACGGAGGCGAGTGATGGGGGAAGCGGGCTCGTTGCCGCGGGAGATATGGGGAGAGGGTCCTTAGCTTTGGCGGAGGAGATAGATACGATCGATGGGATGGGATGGGGGGCGGCGCCCAAGGCTGGATGAGGTGAGGCAAGGATGTGTGATCAACGCGCCTGTGGACACGGATTTCGTTCGCACACAGCTTTCTCTGCGGGTTTGCGGAAGGATGGCGGTGGTGATGGTGGTGGTGTGGTGGATCGTGATTCGTGAAGTGAATGGCGGTGCTTCTGAGTCGCAGCGGGGTCCGGGAGGGCATACAGCTTGCTTGATGCGCTTGGCGGCGGAAGACACAGTGCTGTTTTGGGCGCTGCGAACACAAAGTTTGACACGTGTAACCTCCTTGATTCTTGGCTCTGCTTGGGTTCGTTCGGAATTCCGAACCTATCTACAAAGCTGCCACAAACAAAGGGGCATCGAAATAGGAATAACAGGTTTGCCAAGGTTTCGTATGGGTATTTATTAATTTATTTCGTCGGAGTGTGGCCGTAGCAGATTGTAGGCATGAAGGGATATGGTAGTCGATATTAATGTTGAGCGAGGAATTTAACCTGGTCTACAATTCGACACGTACACCATCAAAATGACAAACTAACGGACTGAACACTGAAAACTAGCAACCAGAGTTCATCCCAGGCTCGGATGTGATGTTACAACCAACCAAAGCACCAACCAGCCTGAGACTCCGAGCAGAGCTGCTGCTTTGGGCTCGAGCCATCCACGTGGAACCTACACAGAAAGTTAGAATTTGGACCTTTCAAAATTTCAAAGGCTGTTTTGAGATCCTGGTGTTCCTCCTGCCCGAGCCATGGCCTTCGTAAAAACGGGGTCATGGAACGGCGTGGTGTGCGCATGTCATGCCTGTGGAGTCACTGGGGCAAACGATCTGTTCAGCACGATCTTTGTCAGGGCAACCGTGAATGTATTCCCAAGAAACCTGGAGATAGTGATGCGATCTCCCTCGCCAACAAGGGCGACTACCAATCGCCGCAAATTTATCGACAAAAACGACAAATTTCCCTTTGTTCACATGATCGAAGTCGGACGGAAGCAACGCAATGTTGTAAGACTAGGCCCTAGTCTAGGGCCTAGTTACTTCCCAAATGCGTTTTGTACAAATTATGAAACAAAACAGTGACAACACAAAATGTTTGTACAGCTCAGACCCTAGCTAGCTTGATAGTGTAGTGAAGTCTACGACTACAATCCATTATAATCGGAGGGTTGACGGGAGGGAAAACGTACATGGTATTCTCTTGGACTTGGTGTGCCATAACTGATACAGTATTTGATGTTGTTGAGATTCTGTGTGTACAAAATCTGCAAATGCACATATTTGGGGCAGATGTGGGTCCGTTGCACCACCGTAATGTTCTGTCCTTGTAGAAAATGTCACCGCAAATGTGACAATGTACAGCCACTGCCACTGGGTGAGGCTTCACACAACTTGACGCCGAAAGTGCAATCATCCGGTTCGTTGGGTCTGTGGAAGCCGCAAAGGAGGGTGGGGTATGTCGTTTTGTGTCAATTGCACACTCCTTACATTCATGTTGTCCACCATCTACAGCTCTATCATATGGTAGCGGTCCCGTTCCGAGAGGAATTGGTTTGGCTTTCCTCAAACTTTCTCCTAAACTTGTAAATAAGTAAATGTGGTTAATCAAACCTTTATACAAATCATATCCATCTAACGTTGATGATAACCTACATATCAAGAGGTAGTTGCATTGCAACGAGGTCCTTGGCTGTTGCAATCCTGAAGGTACTTAGCGAAGGATCGTCCCAGGGTTGATCGCGAGTTGAGTTGTTTGCAGTGGAAGTGTTAACCTCGGGCTAGGGTGAACGTAATTGACAGAGATAATAAAGGCATGTATACATCGGGTTTGTATGGGAAATACAAAGGAATGCGAAACGACCTAGACTAGCCATGTACTCTAAGGGGTACATTATTGCAGCGAAGTTCAACCATGCAGCGCGGGAACCCGTTTCAAACATGTTCCCGCTCTTTCTAGTTCAAATGCATCTGCCTGCACTGGTCTATATCTGACGCTTTCTGGCGTCGCTTCGACTCTTCTGACTCCTCGACTTCGTACTTGGTAGAGTCGGCTCATGCAGCATACAGTAATGCCTTACTCGTTTTTCATATCGTAACACTCCCCTTAATCCGTTGTCGCACAGAAGGCTGACTCGCTTGACTACTCCGGTGAGGTTGGAGCAGAACTGGTACTGCTGACATGGCAGTCACTTGGTGAGGAAGTCGGCTGGGGAAATACGTGAGGTCAACTTTGCATTGGTCAATTTCGTCTTTGACGAAAAAAAGTATCGAAGCGCAATGTGCTTCGTGCGGTTGACGTGTCAGGCTTATATCTGTTAGAATAGTATGTGAAACAAGGCTTAGGAGGAACCATAGCCAAGGAGAATGTCGAGAGGAAAAGTTGAGAAGAAATGATGTTTCACTAAGAGAAAAGGTACAAGGATATAGGCAAAGCAACCAAGGTGCACCACCAAACAAGTTTAGCACTACACTAAGTCTACACTACAGGCAGTTATAGAATAATGCATACAATTATATTCTGACAATATCGAGCTTACATCGTGTAGGTTGTAGTGGGGTAGCCCATAAGGGGTACAACCCAATTAGGGTTAGTACTTGAACCCAACTTCTCTTCAATGCATCCATTCTGATTCGTTACGTTGACATGGTTTCAGAGCAGGTCCTTCCCTAGTGTTAGAATTAAGCTGTCTGAATAGGATCGTAGTCTTAGGATAGTAGCTTCCTATAGCAGTGGAAGTCTTATATGAGTGACTTGTAACAGGATAATTATCTCTGAAATCAAGTATATTAAGAAATGACAAACATACAGAATATATACTAGGATAAAGTACCTATTCGCCTAATGTACCTATTAGCCTGAAACGGTACGTGACTATTCGCGATACCTACAGCTACTGCTGACGTCATCCTAGAGCGCGTAGCGCTTTGCTGACGTCAGCCTATCGGTACTTTTACTGTACTAACTACACTACACGAATTCCTTGAAGTGTGTCAGAACATTATATAGCTTATGCTGTTGTGTAGGCTATAGTGGGGTATCCCATAGGGGGTACAACCCAATTAGGGTTTCCTATATGTACTCACTTCATTCATAGTTCATCCATTCGCGTTCTCCTTTTCACATGGAATCAGAGCAGGTCCCCTCCTAGGGACTGTTTCTAGGGCCCACCGAAGCGCGCCCCGAGGCGCGCTTTCCTTTTTTTTAGCGACCCTCCGTGTCGCCCCTAGCGGCCCGTTGCGCCGCCCTTACCTACGCGAGCCCGCCGCCCTTACGTCGCGGCCCAGCCGCCCTCACGTCGCGGCCCCGCCGCCCTCACCTACGCGGCCCCGCCGCCCTTAAGTCGCGGCCCCGCCGCCCTCACGTCGCGGCCCCGCCGCCCTCACGTCGCGGCCCCGTCGCCCTTGCCTACGCGGCCCCGCCGCCCTCACGTCGCGGCCCCGCCGCCCTCACGTCGCGGCCCCGCCGCCCTCACCTACGCGGCCCCACCGCCCTCACCTACGCGGCCCCGCCGCCCTCACGTCGCGGCCCCGCCGCCCTCACGTCGCGGCCTCGCCGCCCTTGCCTACGCGGCCCCGCCGCCCTCACCTTCGCGGCCCCGCCGCCCTCACGTCGCGGCCCCGCCGCCCTCACTTCGCGGCCCCGCCGCCCTCACCTACGCGGCCCCGCCGCCCCACTTCGCGGCCCCGCCGCCTACGGTACCGGCCCCGCCGCCTATCCTCACCGGCCCCGCCGCCTACGACCGCCGAGCCGCCCTGCCGCCGAGCCGCCCAGCAGCCGAGCCGCCCGGGAGCCGAGCCGCCCTGCCGCCGAGCCGCCCGGGAGCCGAGCCGCCGAGCCGCCCTGCCGCCGAGCCGCCCTGCCGCCGAGCCGCCCTGCCGCCGAGCCGCCCGGGAGCCGAGCCGCCCAGCAGCCGAGCCGCCGAGCCGCCGAGCCGCCGGGCCGCCCTACTGCCGAGCCGCCCGACCTGCCCTGCCTGGTGAGCACAGCACCACTGTTACTGCGTGCCCTTCCCCTACTGCTTGCACTACTACACTGTCGTCGTCATGGCTACCCCTAGTGTCCTCGCTTTTGACGCTGAGGGTCGAGCCATTGACTTTGAGGTCTGGGTCGACGACCTGCAGCTGTTCTTACAGTGCGATAGGGCGGACGGTCTTTCCCTCTTTGACCTCACCTCTGGCGCCTCTCCTGCCCCTGCTGCTGATGCTGACCCCACTGTTCGCTCTCAGTGGGCCACCCGCGATGCTGCTGCACGTCTTGCTGTGCGTCGCCACCTGCCTACCACTGAGCGCGCGCACTTTAGTCAGTACAAGAGTGCTCAGACCTTGTACGACGCTGTAGTTGCGCGCTACTCTTCCCCTGCCATTGCTGCCCTGAGCCGCCTCATGCTACCGTACCTCTTTCCTGACCTTGCTGCCTTTCCCACTGTCGCTGACCTCATTAC